GATTACTGCTTCAATCTCCTTATGTATCGTAGGTCTTTCCAGGTTTTCTATTTCTTCTCCAGTCAGTTTTGGTAGTTTGTTTCTAGCAATTTGCCAATATCATTTCGATTATCTAATTCGTTGGCGTAAAATTATTCATAGTATTCTCCTATAATCCTTTTTATTTATTTCTGTACGGTCAGTAGTTATGTTCCCGCTTTCATTTCTGATTTTAGATATTTGTTTTTTTCTCTTTTCTAGGTCCCTGTTTTATGTCATTTCAGCATTCATCAGTTGCTATTGTAACCTCTTTGTTAGAAAAACAAAAATGGAAAGTCTCCATGGCAGTAGGGACTATATGTTTTGTTACTGTTGTAACTACTCAACCTGGCACATAATAGACCTCAGTAAATATTTCCAGAATTATTTCTTGCTGGTAGAGGGCATGAATGGACTGGGAAAGGGGCTTCCTCACAGCCCTCAGGGGAAGACAGGCTGTTAACTGTTGAGCCTTCTTTCACCTGGGCTCATGGCCCCCCAGTGCATCTTCCCCGTGACCTCTGCAGAGCTCCAGCACAGACCTGACTGCTACCCTCACCTGGCTAAATCCCTCAGCAGCTCCCCAGTGCCCTCTCGATGAAGGTCACCCTTCTTGGCTTAACATGTGAGGCCCTGAATAGCCTGTCCCCTCCCACCTTATCTTCTGTTACCCAGCCCCATCCCCATCTTCCGTCCTAGCCATCCTGCACTTGTCAGGTCCCTCTGACATCCTGCTCTGGTCTGGCCTCTGAATAACACCTGTTTGTCCTTCGGGTCTCCATTCAGCGGTTGTTCCCTCTGGAGGCCTGGTGGGGTGCCCTCTGCACCCCCACAGCCTGCGTGTGGACGTTCCTCTAGAATGCTGACCGAGCAGCCTTGCAGCATCCTGTGAATGTCCCGGACTGGCTTTGAGCCCCACATGGGGAGTGGTGCATCTCTTATCTGTCCTCTGTCTCTGGCTCTGCACTCGTCACTTGGCACCCGTTTTAAAATGTAGATTTTTATTATTATGCAGGTCTGGTGAGGCTAACAGATCAGGAGAGGATTGCCATTAAAAAGACACTCTGTTACTCACAGATCTCAAGGAGGGGGCCTACAAGCCAGTGGAACTACACGGGGCAGCACCGGGGCAGTCAGGGGGCAGTCACGAGGCAGAGGAAGGGGGCGGAGGACCAGGCAAGAGCCTTTATTGTGGTTTCCCTAGGAAGGAGTGAGCAGGGCAGCATAAGCAGGTTTGAGATCGGCTGGTTTGAATAATCTGAACATGCTCTAAGGCTTAGGGGCTGGCCCTGGTCGAGTGGCACCTGGCCCTGGGGTGATTGCGGCACAGGAACAATGCCTCCTGGAATGTGAGAGTCTTAACAGGGATGGGGGGCTGTGGAAGGGGTTGGGGGTATGGTTTTGGATTAGCTGTTTTGCATATGAAAGGTGCACACAAGCAACTCATTTACTATCTCTAGGAACTGGCTAGCCCTGGAAGGGGCAGGCCCTCCAGGTCCCGCAAGGTCCCAACTGTCAAAATATCAGAATGAAAAAGACATGCTTGGAGCACCGAGAGTTTTTAGGGCCGTGAAATATGATGATCAATACATGTCAATATACAGTTATCCAAACCCACGGAATGTACAGCACCAGGAGTGAACCCTAATGTAAACTACGGACTCTAGGTGATTATGACATGTCAGTGTAGGTTCACTGATAGTAACATATACCGTCTGGTGGGGACGCTGATTGTGGGGGAGGCTGTGCATGTGTAGCACGTGACGTATATGGGAATTCTCCGTACCACCTCCTCAGTTTTGCTGGGAAAATTAAACTGCTCTTAAGAAACAGTTTCGAAAAATATAAAAAAGAAACAACAACAAATTATGAGTTGACCATCATCTACGGCTAGAACTGCACCGTCCGATAAGGTAGACAGCAGCCACACGTGGCTATTCAGCACTTGAAATGTACTGCAGGCATACGATAAGCCACGTTTTGAAGACTTACTATGCCAAAAAGGAAAACATCTCATTAGTCATTTTCATTTTGATTACATGTTGAAATGATAATATGTTGATAGATAGGGTTGAATAAAATACATTAAAAAAATTTTTAAAGACATTTTTAATACAGCACTCCATAGTACATGTGGAACCTAAGCTTGGAATCTGGACTCTGCTCACTTGGTTAAGCAACTTAACCCCTCTGGGCCTCAGCTGATGGTTTTTTCCCCTTATAAAATGGGGATAAATATTAAACCCCTAGGGTTATGATTACTTCAAGCCACTCTTTTTAAAGGAGTTCCGCCGATCCCCAGCACCTCCCTATCACTCGGGATTTATAGCAATGATCCTAAACTCACAATATCTTGCTTCATTTTTTGCTGCTTGTCTTATCTGCTCTGCACTGGGACCATCTATCTGTCTCTTTCACTGCTTGTCCTGGCACCTAGCCCAGTGCCTAGCATACAGAAAGTACTCGCTTAAGTGCTGAATGAATGAGATAACAAGTGGCCTCCACACAGGTATCCACTGAGGATCAGTGACACCTTTGTCATATTCATGGCGGGGACACATCTGCTTCCTTACTGCCATTACTTCAGGGCTGGTATCTGAGGCACTCAGAAAACCTGTGTGGGAGGGGTGAACGGAGCTCGGCAGCTTTGAAGATGTCCTTGGGACCCTTTTGGATATTCTCTTCATGGCACACCAGCCACCTTCATCACTTTGTGCCTGCCCCAGCCCCAGCCTGGCAGGGCTGGTGTCAGGCAGTCACCTCTGCAGCTGGGGGCAGTTCAGCTGGCCTGGTCCTCACACATCTGGTAAGAGCAAAAGCACAAGGGCTGAGGCCAAGGCCATGACCAGTGCCAGTAGCCCGAGTCCCACCTTGGCCATCATTGCAGTTGCCCCCTGGAACACAGTCTAGTGAGGGAAGCGCCTCAAAGCCGGCCTTGTAGGAGGGAGCAGGGCCAACCACATTGGGAACATAGCAAAAGGGGCCACACAGAGACAGTCCATAATCCAAGTTTCTGAAAGTCAAGACATAGGCTGGCAAGGCATCCTGGAAAATTCCTTCACAGAACTCACCGCCCACCCTGCTCTGCAGAAGGGCCACCAACTAGAGGTGCCTTCTGCAGGCCCTGGGTTATGGTCAGTCTCTCCAGCTCAGCTCCAGGCTGGAGACCACCCAACGGCCACCATTGTCAGAGCTAGTGACCAGGAAGCAGGAAGCTTTTGACCCCCAGCTGTGCTCATTCCACACATGATGAAAAGAGGGGCCCCTGCTGGAAGCAGTTTATCCTTAATGTCTCCAGCAGTTGTAGGAACGGATGAGGCCTCCCCTCTCCCAGTTCAGCCCTGTCCATGAATATGTGGCCCTTCCCACACTCAGCAGCTGCGGTCTTCAGAACTCCGGGGTTTCATTCAGGGCCTGGCCTCCCTGAGCATCTTGTCTCCCGCCAATACCTGGGTTCTGAACTGGTCCAACAGCTCGTAAATCCCTGTCTGCTCTGCTTCCTGGTTCTTCAGCAGCGACCCCCACCCCTCCCGCCCTCCCCGACACTCCCCGTGCCCTATCAAGGTTGTGGGTGGGACAAACCGAGAGGGGCCGGGCGGGGAGGGGGACTCACTCTCCCGGGACCTCGGCCAAGTCTGGGTACTCAGGGGCAGGCAAGGGCAGTGGGCCGGAGCGGGAAGGCTGGCCCCGGCCGGTCCCGCCGCGTCCCCACGCCCTCAGCCACGCGGAGCCGCGTCCCGGCCCAGCTTCGCCCATCCTGGGGACGGCCACAGCGACCGCCACAGGACCGCTGGGCGCCCGAGCCCAGGTGCATCTTAGCGGCTTGGGCAGAGCGAGTCTCATAAGCCCCGCCCCATGTCTAAGCACCACCCAGAAAGCCCCGCCCCTGGGGCCTGGTATCTTCCGCCAAGCCCCGCCCCGGCGTTAAGCTCCACCCATCTAGTCCTCCCCAACCCTGCCTGCTGCAACCCCTCCGCTCTTGCTTCCAATCAGTCATGCGACCCAGGGAAAGAAGAAACGGCTTCTAGATTATTTGATTCCCGCCGGCGTGGTTACGTGGGGCTACTTGCTTTTCTCCCAAAACCAGAGCATTTCTTTGTTGTAGTGGTTAATAGTTTTATTGAGATATTCTCAAGATAACGTTCAGAAAAATTCGCATATCATACAGTGCATCCATTGCAAGTGGACTATTCCGCGATGTTTATTTGCAGAGTCGCTCGACCATCACCACTAATTTCAGAATCAAAAACACCCTTTTGCTGTCACCCCCTCATTCTCTACCCCTCCCAGCCCATGGCAGCCACTAATTTTATTTTCTGTTTCTACAGATTTGCTTGTTCTAACACTAGGACATTTCTGTGACATGTCGCCCCATCGTGTGGAGGGAGAGAAAAATGGGATAAAGCCGGGGCCCCAGAAGAACAGGTGTTTTGGGAGTGGGGAGCAGAGGTGAAGGCTCTTCCTGGGGCTCTAGGCAGCCTGAGGCCTGTCCACAGGAAGCCACCCAGTGTGCGGAGGAGAGGGAATGGGAGGAGGAGAAAGGGCTCTTCAGGGAGAAAGGGTGCTGGCCGAGGGGCCTGGGATGGGGGAGGAAGGAAGGGGGGGTCACAGGGCAGCCAGCTTTCAAGTGGCCTGGTCGAGATCAAGGCTGGGCTGACCATCCGCATCTGTCTGTCAACCTCTCATGGAGAGGGAGCCGAACCTCTGTTCTGCATCTGAGTAGTTGATTAAGGGAGTCAGTGTTTCTTGATTTGAGTCCTCTTGTCTCCAGTTACCCCCAACTCGCCTCCAAGTGTACCCTGACCTTGCATAGAGGAGCTAGAAAGAGAAAGGAAAAGAGAGGAGGGCAGGACAGGAGGGAGAAGCCTGGAGGTGGAGTGGTTGAGGAGGTGGGGAGGAGGAAGGTGGGTGGAGGGCAGGTGATAGCAGGGTGGGGCTCTATCTATAAAGGGAAAAAGCCTGCGGGCTGGTGGGCAGGAAAGATTGGTATACGTCTCCGGAGGCACCAGGGACTCCATAGGCTTTGGTAAGTGTAGCCCCCCCCAGGTGAGACCAACAGCCCGTCCCTCTGGAATGACTTGTCCCCAACCCGTGTCTGTCTGCCACTGGGTGTTCTCAGTGCCTGCCGCTGCTCATTTTGGGTCCTCCCTACCTCCACCTTCCCCGTTAGCTCTCAAGGCTCGCAAGGAGAACCAGCCTGTGCCATGAAATTGTGGCTCCTGGTCTTCCTGGTGGCCTGCTTCGTGGGCACCTGGGTCCCTGCTGTCCACGCTCCAGGTACTGTCTAGGCCATACCTACCCACCTCCCCCAGATTTCTCCTTTCCCCATCCATCCTCCTATGCCTCCCATTTGCCTGTCCCCAGCTCCAGAAGCCTTCCCTGAGTCCATCTCCACCACTGAATTCTCTGACTGGCAGACAGCTCCCCTGCGCCGAGCATGCAGAAACTCCTGGCATCTGTGCAGCTCCTTGGGGCTGCAGGGCCCCCAGCCTCTTTTCTGGAGCCCCCACCACAGTCTGTGACCCAAGTCCTCCCTGCGGGGACTCCAGCTGGCCCAGGGACTGCGGGGAGCAGAGGGTGGCTTCCAGCGGTGGCCTACTACTTACTGCAAGACACACCGCAGTGACCTAACCTAGCAGAGCCTTTTTTTTTAATGGGTCGCCATCCAGGCTTCCCCCTACTCGGGCTAACTGGGTAGTCCGGCTGAGAGTCACGACTCAGCCTTTATGGGCGTCAGTTTCCTCATCTGCAAAGTGGGCTTCTGAATTCTCACTACAGTGAGGGGCTGTGAAGATCCAACGGGCTGATGCCTGCAAAACGCTTGGCCCAGTGTCAGGGCCAACGACAGTAAATATTACTGTTATTAATGGGAAATCCCTTCCCTCCTCTCCCTTGATTAGGCACTTGAGGATTTGGGTGACGAAACGCCAGTTCTGGGCATTCAGTGTCTCCCTCAACAGGAGCCCTCCCACTGTGTCCTCCATCCCTGTGGGCTCTGGGGAGGCAGCTGAACCCCAGCAGCAGGTGGAGCAGGGTCGAGGTCCCATGGCCTCACCCACCTGCCTCACCTGCCCCTCACTAGGTCTGAGGTCCTAGCCTGGCCCCTAGCAGACCTTAGCCTTTGCCCTGGAGGGGCTGGGCTCTCTTCCCGTTGTCTGCTATCAGAGGCCCATTCCAGGAGCAGGGCCCAGCCCAGGCCCTTTGATCCCAGGGGTAGAAAGGCCTCCAGTCCCTGGAACTTCCTTCCTAGGACTGCAGCCCAGGGTCCCTCTGACTCTGCTTCCCCTTGCCCTCCCATGCCACTCAATCCCTTCCTATTGACCCCTCCCTCCCTCCCTCCCTCCCTCCGTGCTCTACCAGGACTCACACTTAGTCCCTCTAGGAGACAAATCCCGGAGAATCCTTGAGGCCTCTGCCTTGTCTCCTTTATCAATTCATCCTCTGCCTCCAGGCCCTCTGGCACTAGCACCTCCTCTGAGCACCTCCCCTCCAGGTCCCCGTGCTTCCCTTGCCAGCAGAGATCAACTTTCCAGTGTCCCCACCAGGCCATCCCCAATGACAACGCTGGATCCGATTCCCCTCTGTGTTTGTTCAGACACCTGGCACCGAGTAGGAACTCTAAATGCTGTTGTTTGACCAACGGGTAAATGAAAAGAGACTCTTGGTCTCTTGCCAGGTGACTTGGAGTGGTCACTTGGATGGGGACAGAAAGGAGGAGGTACCTGAGATAGACCTAGGCGGGGAAGGGCCAGCCTGGAGCAGGAGCCAGGACACCAGGAGCAGCGGGCCAGGCGCTCATTTTAAGAGGAGGGACCCAGAGGGAGTGGTGGCCTGGGGCCCCTCCTCGGGGAGCTGCACCTGCCTTCCTGGCCCTCTGCCCCGGAGCAGGAGTGGAAATGGCCTTGGTCCCCTATTCATTTTGAGGTCCTGGGCCTTTCCCAGCCAGAGCGTGCAGGCCCTTTCTAACTCTTGCCAGCTGTCCCCATATCAAGGGCTAAAGGTGAGCCTAATGGCTTCCTTATTGCCTGGGCTGTCCCTCAGCCTCCACTGGGCTGTCATGCTATGTTTGCGGTACGTTTACGGCAGTGGCCATGCCTGCACACACAGTGCACACACAGCTCCACAGGTGCACATAGGAAAGGGAGCCTGGGGTGGCCGTGTGATTGCAGGAGTCTTTGAGGACTGCTGCCTGGCCTACCACCCCCACATTAGGCTGACCGTGCTCCGGCGTGCCCAATATTACCTGCGCCAAGATGTCAGCGGGAGCTGTAATCTGCCGGCCGTGATGTGAGTGGGGCCGTGGGGGCTGGGGGGACTCACACATAACTTTGCTCACTGCTTACACACTAACCTGGCGTCCCCACTGCCCACCTGCAGATTCTACTTCCCCCACAGACAGAAGATGGTGTGTGGGAACCCACGGGCCAAGTGGGTGCGAGATGGGATGAAGTTTCTGAATATTCAAAAAAAGGCCCTCCCAAAGCATCATCAAGACACCAGGAGAAACTTCCAAGGTAGGTGAGACCCCAGCCCAGCATCTAGGGTGCCTACCCTCCCTGCTGCGGGACTCTGAGCTTCTCAACCCCCTAGGAGGGGGTTGCAGCCCAGCATGCTGACAGCTGCTCCACCCCAAGAAAGCTAGTTGCTGGGGAGTAGGAGACTGAATGAAAAAACAACTCTTTTAGTCAAAACACTGAATTGCCAGAGATGGAAAGGTCAAGTAAATGGGAAATTCATCAGCTCAAATGACCAGCCAACAGCTTCAGGCTCGGTTAGATGCAGATACTCAAAGGGTATTGGCTGAGCTCTTATCTATTTCTCTTTCCATGTCTCTTGACAGACTCTCACTCTGGGGTGAAGAAGTTTAGCTCTGGAACCTCCAGGCTACCGCTGTACATGTTTAGAGGTCACACCAGAAACAGCCAGAGGAACAACTCCCACCCAGCAGCAGCCGATCCAGGTAAGGACTCAGATCATGTGACCATCCCTTCACCCATCACCGCTGCTGAGGGATGAGGGCTCATCATGAGCCCAGACTGGGTCAGGGAACTCACCTCCAAGACCGAGGAGGGCTGGCTCTGTGGACAGCCCCACAGACTCACACACGGGAGGGTTGTAGGTGTCACTACTCTGATCCAGCCCTGGGGGGGCTTTGGCTCCACCCCAGTCCCCATCACCTGCCGTTCTCTCCAATCCCTTCTGCAGGACCATGAGCCCACACATCTCCTGCATCAACCAGCACAAAATGGGCTGGACCTTTCTCTACCATGAGCGTCACCCTGCAGCCCTGGCTGCCCCAGCCCGTGACCTTCAAGCCAAATCTCACGCCTGACTTTGTGTTGGTTCCCTCCCCGCTGCCACTTCCTGCTCCTAGCCAGCCCTGGACAATGGGTCTTATAATCATTGAGATACATCACCCACCTGCAGCCTCTTGCCACCCACCCTAGGCCATGCCTCTGTCTCTCTGGGTCCTTGCAAAGCGCCAGATCATCTAAGATACCCCTCTCAGCCTGTGTTTTTTAAAAATAAACCTTCGATGGGTCATCATTCCTGTCTCTGTCACATTTCACTATGGGGTGTGAGTCCCTAGCCTATGCTGAATCCCACGTGATCCCCTCACTCCAGGATCTGTGCTCAGCCCTCACAGGAGACAGCTCTGGGGGGAGGGGTGGTGGTGGCAAGCACTGAAAGTGTTGGCTGCAGGCCCAGGTATGTCCAGTTGGTGATCTTGAGCAAACCGCTTACTCTCTTGGCACCTCCTTTCTCATCTATAAAGCGGGGGCTCTGCCCAGATCACAGGGCTATAGTGAATGGCTAATTAATAGACAGAGAAGCCTCTGCAAGCTCTGATAGGCGCCCAGCAGCTCCCGATAAATCAGGCGAACCAGACCCTGGCCAGGACAGAGCCCTGGGGCCAGGCACTAGTGACACTCTGCAAGGAAGGCTGGCCACTCTTCCGGGTCCAGGTCATTACCCAGACTTGAGCCACTCAACTGTGTTGTCCTCAGGAAGCCTGTTTCCACCGTGACAGAGAACGTTCTGGATGAAAACCAAATGCACCATCATAAGGACAAGAGGCGGTTTGGGGCCAGGGACCAGACTTGGAAGAACATGAGTCACATCCAGGCCCCACTACACTATGGGTGTAACCCCAGACAGATTCCACAAACTCTCTAAGCCTTACTCTTCACCCCTGTAAAATGGGGCGATAACACTGCCTGTCTCGTACAAGTTTGTGGGGACTAAATACACTCCCGTCTGTGACGTGGACATGCACACGCTGACTACGTTAACGCGATGAGAATCCCAGCCATTCAAACTGGGGAGGTCTAGCCCAACCTGGAGCCAGGCGGGATAGCACGTGGGTGATGGCATGGCTGCCTGACTTTGAACCTGGCTCTGCTACCTGCAAACTGGAGTCATCTTAGTCAAACTGCTTAACCTCTCTGAGCCTTAGTTTTCCAATCTGCAAAATGGGGAAAAAATAGTAGCATCTGTTCCGTGAGGTTGTACTGACAACTGAATGGGTCCATAACTGGAAAATACTTAGACCATTGCCTGGTACGTAGTACGTGGTCTGGAAACGTGAGCCATTTTCATCAGTATCCATGAACCCATTAGGGCTCAGTTTGTGCCAAACTCACAGGTCTGAAGTTGGCAGGGCCTACCTGTACCCTGAGATCCTGTCCCCACCCCTGGGTCCACCCACCTCTCACCTACACTTTCTCTTCAGAGCACAGAGCTGAAGCCCATCCTTCCCACAGCTGCTGCCCTTCTGGGGCCTCTGGTTCCCCGTGTGGTGCTGCTGTAGGCAGTATCTACTTACTTTGAGAGTGTGCCAAGGGGGCAGAGGTAACCCAAAATAACTTTATTGTTTTTCTGCTTCTGATATAAAGCATCCTTGGAACCCTAGCCCAGTTCCCTGGGGGCATGAAAATGGCTGTGTGTCACCAACTCTGGCTGGGGCCCCTTCGGCCCTACTGCTTGGAGGGATGAGCCCCATGCCCAATGCAGCTGCCATCCCATGTCCCACTGACCCTCCAGGGGCTGAGCCTTGGTGCAGTGCAGAAGTTTAAGCCTGAGATTGACCAGATGCAGGGAATCCCAGGGCCCTGCTTGACCCTCGTTTGGAGGTGGAAGGTGCAGGCCGCGGCTTCTAGTTGTCTCCAGGAAAGACTGAGTGTTGGAGAGAGGCTGGGCTCGCCTGAGGTCATAGTGTAGCACGTCATTTTTCCTGAGTTCTGGGTTCCACCTGGTCAGCCATTACCACCAGGGATCGATCCTTCCCAGTTCCAGGATCTTCCATGACTGGAGAGGAGGATGGCATGGGGGCCGGGGGGCCCATCGAGGCCAGGGCTCGTCACCGGGGTCTCCCTGCGGTGTGTAGCGAGCAGATTCATCAGTTTCCCCAAAACTCCATGGAATGAAGCAGGGGTTGGGCGGTGCCCAGGCAGTGAGTCTGGAGAGGAGACTGTGGGAGGGGCCTGAAGCCAGGAGTCGGGCGCAGGCCTTTCCTGGCTACAGCAGCTGCAGCCGCACCTTCAGCCGCAAAGCTAGGACCCCTGGCCCCGGCTGCCCCTCTGGCCAGATGCCCCAGGGCCCTGCAGCGCTCACCACCTCCAGCTGGTAGGTCCCAGGCCCCGGCCTCCGCCGCCCCAGCTGCAGGGAGCTGAGGCCGCGGAGGTGATGCATGCGGAAGAAACCCTGCTCGTTGCCACGGGCAATGACATAATGAACACGGCCTCCCAGACTCTCCAGTGCTGGCCGCAGCTCCAGGATGTGCTCGGCCCGGCCCAGGCGCGAGAGGTTCAAGCTCAAGGTCAGCGGGGCCTCTGAGTCTAGGCTGGCCATGCTCACCTGGGGGAGAAAGACCAGGTGGATGATGGTCAGAGGCCAGCAGAACCAGAAGGCGGTGGGTAGGGGGCCATGCAGCCTTGGCCAAGGGGAGAGTTTATCCAATGTCTAAAGCGGAGGAAAGCATGGAACACTCTCTGCCCTTGACTTCTGTCTAGCCCCTCATCTACAAGGACAACGTTATTTATGAGCTATGAACAGGCATGAAAGCAGAGGCTGGTTCCCAGATGGAAAGCAAAGAGGGAAGGTGGCCGGCCACTTTTACATGCTGACTCCTGACCCCTAGCCTCGGCGGAACGGCTTTAGTGAGATCAACTGCCAGTCTGGGCAGAGAGAATTGAGAATTTGCCTTCAGAGCCCTCTGCACAGGGTGTCAGATGGTGTCGGGCCCCAGAGCCCTAAGGTCAATCAAAGGTGGCCTGGGGTGGCTGGAGTAATGACCAAGGGCCTTGCAGCAGAAGCCAGCCCCAGAGAGGATACTAGACCGGACACAGCGAGGGAAGTACGAGACCCAGTGAGGCCGGAGACGAGAGCTGCCCGCCAGCTTTCCGGTTCCCGGAGGCCCGCTGTGCTTCCTGCATCTGGGTTCCTTGAGAGCCCTCTGTGTGCAGATGACAAACCCCTCTTTATCTGAGCTCCTGTGAGTGAGTGTGTTCCTGGTCCTGGCAGCCGGACAGGGCCCTGAGTAAGCCAGCCAGTCTCAATGGCAGGCTAACCCAGGCTGGGTGCTGCATCCAACGCCACAGGAGGTTATCTGTTTTCTTTTTTGCTCTGGGCAGTGTTGTTTGTTTCGCCTAATTGACATGCTGATGGAGTGTTTTGCTATTGCATTAAAGTGAAAACTATTCCTTTTCCCATCCCCTCAGTTCTGGAGATTTCAGCCCTTCCCCATTAGGTGTTGCTCAAACATGTGCTCCTACTGACGCCTGCTGGTAGTCTGTGGGTATTGCAGGCAAAGCCACAAAGCCCATCCCAGGAGCCCTGACAACCACCCCACTCACTCCTACTGAGGACCAATGGCTGGCTACACAGTGGCAAAGCTGACAGACACAGGGCCCTACCGTTGTGAAGCTTGCAGAAAATAATGGTAACAATGAGATAATATATATAGCCACCATTTTTCCCAGCAAGAGGGGGAAAAAAACGAGAGATAAACGGTTCCTGGAACCATTAACCATATTTAGTTAATCTAATATTAAAAGCCCCTCAGACCTAATATTCCTATCCTACTTCTGCCTTCATTTCCCCCATAGCATTTATCATGTATCATATTTTTGCCATGTGTTGTAAAATACAGTGTTTTACTTGTTTCTTTTCTGTCTCTCTGTTAGCATGTCAGCCCTATGGGCACAGGGACTTTCGCTTAGTTCACTGTTGCCCCATCACGGTGCCCAGCGCACAGTAGGTGTTCAGCAAAACCTTCGGAGTGAAGGAGTTTGGTCCCAGATGGGGGTAATGGCTCCTGTGCTCACTGATCTTTTTCGAAATCACATAAAGTGATGGTGTCAGAGGGTGGTGACTGCAGAGGAGCCCAGGATGCCTGGCCACGAAGACCAAGGCTGCTTATAAAGAAAAGGCCATGCAGTGCAGCTGTGGAATCTCTGCTCTGCCACTTTCAAGTTCGGCAGCTTGAACATGTGACCTGAGCTCTCTGAGCCTCAGTTTCTCAATCTGTATAATGGGTACGATAGTGGCATCTGTACCTCTCAAGGCTGTTGTAAACATTGAGAGGCCGTGAACGCAGTGTGCATCAAGTAGGTGCTTAATAAATGTTTGGCTTTCAGATCTTTTGGGGGATGGTGACAAGGCTGACTAGCAGTGGCCTTAGGGACAAAACCACCATGTGGCATAACCTGGGGTCTGGGTCATGGCTGGAGTGACCCCCAAGGGGCAGAAGGGACAGAGCTACAGGCTGCTCTGCTGTCCCTCAGAGTGCGGGGAGGACCCCCGCAATTTCTAGAGATGAGGTGACAGGAGGCCCAAGCATCGCAGGTACAGGAAAGAGGTGTAGAGGTGAAGGGTCTAAAGGAGGGTGACGAACGAAGGGGATAAGCTGGCTGCTCTGCGCCCCGTTGGTGATAAATTCAGAGGAGCCTGAGGGAGGGCTTTGCCAGCCAAGAGGTGAGGGGTGACAAGTTCCAGGGGCCAGGCAGGGTTGGGAGAGCCAAGCCCTTTCTTCTGCATCCAAGTGCCATGAAAGGGATCACGGGGAGCATCACAGCCCAGCGTGAGTCTGTATAGGAGGTAACTTGATTTGTCACCAGAAGTGAGGTGGAGCGCTGGGAGCCTGTGCTCCCCAGAGAGCCCCGGGGGCTGAGAAAGTGCAGGAAAGCCCAAGCAGGCACCACGACTCAGGGACAAGCTGGGACACAGAGTCTGGTGTTCCTACCCTTGGCCGGTTCTCTGCCTGCCCCCACCGACAGTACTGCCACACCCAGTGCATCCCCTGCGGCACCTGGCGGTCCCCGTGCATGCTGCGCCGTGGCCGGTCACGAGAGGGGAGGCTGTTGATCTTGCATTCGTAACAGGCTTCAGGTGTGAGCAGCTCCTCGTCTGGGCCGTTCTGGGATCCAGGGCTGAGGCTCAGGCCGGAGACGCAGTGCCTAAGCCAGGACGGGGGGCGGGGTGGGGTGGCAGATCTTCAGGGGAAAGACAGTAGGACCTCCCCGCCACCCTCACATTCCACTGGAGCCATGCTGCCTGTGGCCACAAGCACTGTTATGCAAATGTGCCGCTGTGGCTTTGCATGCACCTACGGGGACATGCATTTGTGTGTGCACGTGCATCCTTGGCTTACCTGGGCAGTGGTGTGAGCCTGCATGCATGCAGGAGTGCATGAATGTAACTGAGTGCACCCAAGGTCTGTGCACGTGCAAGCCTGCATGCACGCTGGGATGCGGATGTGTGCTTGTGCGTGTGTGTGTTGAGATAGATGAACGCACGAGGGTGCCCAGGCATGTTGGCACAGTGTGAGCCATGAAAACATTTGTGTGTATAATGGAGAAGTGTGCACCTATCACGGTGGGCATGCAAGCATGCAGGAGTGCCATGAGGACAATTACACCACAGTGGGGTGTGAGCTTATGTGTGCATATGTACGGGTGCTGCTGGGGCTCAGTGCACCATTTTCTGTGCACATGCATGTACGTGTGTGTGTGCATGGGCCTGCACGTGTGTGTTCACTGCCAGGATAGGAGGGTCTGTGCTCACCCCACTCAAGCCCCTCACCCTTGCCCAGCCCGGAAGTAGCCTCGGGGGCAGCCGCACAGGAAGCCACCGGGAGTGTTGGCACAGCTGTAGCTACAGGGTCCCCCCCGCGCTGCACACTCATCCACATCCTGGCAGCCACCCAAGGTTTGGTCAAAGTCAAAGCCAGAGGGACAGACGCAGTGGAAGCCACCGAGTGTATTGTGGCAGGAGGCACTGCCGCAGGCCGCAGGCGACAGGGCACATTCATTCTCGTCTGAGAGTGGGGAGGGGGAGAGAGACGACGTGGGAGGTGGGGGACCAGCGTTTGCACCCGTACTGCTCCTCCCCCACACTTGGCAACTTCGGCTCCTCTTTCAGAGCCCAAGGCCAATGTCAAAACCTCCATCAATCTCCCATGAGCCCCGCAGCCCTGTAATTCTCCTCCAAAGCATTTCTCTAAACATCCCGGAAATCCTAAATTGTGGGGTGGTCTAAAACAAGGTCTCTCCTCCTTGGCACTGTTGACATGTGTGACCGGATCCCTGTTGGGGGGCAAGGAAGCGCCGGTCCCGGGCGCCAGGAGCACCCACTGCCCATTGTGACAACTACGAATGTCTCCAAGACACTTCAAAATGTGCCCCAGGGTGCAAAACGGGTCCCAGTTGAGAACCAATGCCTAACCAACCCCCATTTGCCCCATGAGGCTGGACTAGAGGGCAGGGATGGAATCCGTCTCTCGGCTCATATCTGTCTCTGCAGGGCCTGCTGCCAGGGAGGTCCTGGGGAAACCACGGCCGAAAGAGTGAATAAGCCACAGCGGAGGCGACAGGCTGAGAACGGGGAGCTGGCAGCAGAGGCGACGGTCTGGGTGGTCCCCAGGGGCCGCACGCCACAGGGCGGTGGGGGACAGATGTAGACTGTAGCTGAGGACCCACCACAGGGGCAGGAGGAGGAGCTGGAGAAAAGGCAATGCTGGCGAGGTGGCGGGAGAGTGGGGACGGCCATATCCCAGAGGCCACGAAAGGAGAGAGTGTCCAGAAGGGTCAGGCGGCAGTGCCCAGAGCAAAGGAAGTGTAGAAGCTGAGGGTCAGAGGGGCAGAAAGCTACCCACACACATCTCCCCCCTCGAAGCCGGAGCCTCTGCAGAGATGTGGCCCGCCTGCCCGTCCGCCCGGCACTGCCGCACCCACCGCAGACATCGCTAATCAATCACAACACTCTCCCCGCGGTCACAGGCACCACCGCAGAATCTTTCTCAGCTGAGCCCTCCAGGTCACCACTCCCTAAGAAATGGACTTTGCCATGCTGGCTCTGCAGCCCCGACGTCTGGCAGAGGGGAAAAGACTATCTTCCAGGCTGGCCCATCTGACCTTTAGTATCCTGCAGGGGGATGGTTCCTAGACACCTGCTCTGGACAGGTTTTGGTGGGGGCTTCACCTTCTTCCCGGCCCCCACCACTCACCCACACACTGGCTCCACAGGGAGTGTGGTGTGAAACCTTGGGGGCAGCTGCAGCGGTAGCCCCCCAGCTCGTTCTGACAGCCATGCTGGCAGCGATGGGGCCCGTCGCATTCATCCACGTCTGCAAGACAGAAGGAGAGAGGGCTCGCCTGGCAGCCTTCAGGACCACCTCCCAAGCCTAGACTCCACGCGAAGCCTGGCTCTACCTTCGCAGCCACGGCCTGAGCTGTCCGGGGCGAAGCCTTGATAGCACTCACAGCTGAAGCTGCCTGGGTTGTTGCGGCAGCGTCCACGGGTGCCACACGGGCCAGGCTGCGCCAGGCACTCGTCGTTATCTGCAGAGGATGGAGAACCAGCAGGGCCACCTGGCCGTTAGGGATTCAGGGCGGGCACCATGACTCTGGGCCTACATCAACTGTGTGGCTTCGGGCGAGTCACTTACCCTCTTTTTGCCTCAGTTTCCCCCTCTGTGAAATGAGATCTATAACAGTTCCCACCTCGCCGAATTGCTGTGAATATTTGAGATCACACACATAGAGGACATCATTTGAATTTTATCTGCGCCACCTCAAAGCTGTGTGACCTGAGGCGAATGACTTACCTTCTCTGTGCCTCAGTTTCCTCAGCTGTAGCATGGAGATAATACCCACCTCACTGAGTTTTTGTGAGAATGATATTAATCGAATCATGTAAAGGGCTTAGGACAGTGCATGGCATGGGAGTAAAGGGTTAATAAAGCCCCTTCTCCTCTTCCATGGGAAAATGACCCAGGGTAACTATTGCGCTCTGTCCTTGTGGGATGTCAACCAGTGTTACATACAGGCTCAGAAGAATTTGTGTGCCTCCCAAAAATGTGTATGTTGAAGCCCTAACTCCCAACGTGATGGTGTTTGGAGATGGGGCCTTTGGGCGATGATTAGGGTTACGTGAGGTCATCGTGGGATTAGTGCCCTTATCAGACGAGACAGCAGAGCACTTGCTCTGGCTCTCGCTCCACCACGGGAGCACACGTGAGAAGACAGCCATCTGCAGGCCAGAAGAGAGTCCTCCCCAGCCTTGATCTTAGACTCCCAGCCTCCAGAACTGTGAGCAATAAATATGTATTGTTTAAACCGCTCAGGTTATGGTATTTTGTTATGGCAGCCCAAGTTGCCAGGCAACGTTGCCGTGGCGGTCACAGCCATGGCCAGTAAACTGCATCTGGAACACTACATTTCATCCAACACTTCATTGGATCTGAGTTTTGGCTTCTTTGAGTACGGAGATTATTAACACTAGGTGCATTCCTTTGGGGACCTGGGATCTCTGGGGTACAAGAGGCATTGGGGAAATGGGGCTTCTATGCTAGAGTGGCTCCTGCAGCTGTGTGTAGTCTCATCCTTCATGTCTCAGCTGTCACTTGAGGGGCCACAGAGACTAGCCCTGGAGTCTCACCAGGATCCTGCCGGAGAGACACATCCAGTGCCACCTGCAGTTCTCTCCCTTGTATCCAGCAAAGCGAACCAAGGGTCAGGCTGGCCTACTGTGGTCATGTGTGTGTGACCTTCTGGTTCAATTGTTAGCAAACCGGGGCCCCATGGGACAAATCCAGCCCACCACCTGTTTGTGTAAATAAAGTTTCACTGGCACAAAGCCATACTCATTCATTCATGACCTATCATCTATGGCTGCTTTTGAGCTACAATGGCTGAGTCGAGTAATTACGATAGAAATCATGTGGACCACTGAGTTGAAAATACGTACTGACGGGCCCTTTGTGGAAAAAGTTTGCTATCCCCTGACCTAGTTAGCCTAAGACCACCCGCCAAGAGTACAGGCTGTACAGGTGTTAGTCACGAACAGTCTGGAGGCTTCGATCTGCGGTATCAATGCAGTAGGGGCCTGGATGAGAATTTAAACTCTATTCTAGTGTGAGAAGAAGTCCTGTGTGAGTTTGCTATGTGTCACGTACATGTGGGATGCGCGTGCACTGGCACATTGGCTTGTGTGTGCACACGCTTACAGATGCACCCATACAAATGTCACGTTAACGGTGCTCATCTTAGGAGGCAGGGAATCTAAGTCCACCGTGCAGAAAAAGAGAGACGTGTGTCATTTCGAGGCCCGGAATGCTCTTCCCCCAACTTATGCATGGCTCACTCCTTCACCTCCTCCAAATCTTTGTTCAAATGTCCCCTTTTGATGAGGCTTGTCCTGATCCCTCTTTGAAAAATAGCAGCTTTCCTGATCTCCTTGCTCTGCTTCACTTTTTCTTTCTTTCATACTTTCATGTCACCCTTGAACATGGTCCGGTGTTAATGTATTATGTCTGTTTCTGGTCTGACGCCCTGCCAGCAAGGACAGCCCACGATGGCGGCAAGCCTGACCACTGCGTCCATTTCTGCACCCTCAGAGTCTAGGCTGGAGTTAGGCACCGCTTCTGAAAAGGGCCAGATAGGAAATATTTTTGACTTTGTTGCCATTGTAGCCCAGAAGCAGCCACAGCAATATGCAAATGAATAAGCATGGCTGTGGTCCAATAAAACTTTATTAACAAAAGCAAGCAGGAGGCCGGGCTCGACCTGGGGGCTAGAGTCTGCTGACCTCTGGTCCAGAGCACTGCCTGGTACACAGTGGGTGCTCAGTAGGTGTTGGCTGAGTGGATTAGTGGGAGCCTGAATAGGGCCACCCGTGGCCGAGCTGGCCCTTAGGAGAGGTCTGTTTCTCCCGGACCACAAGACATTAAGAAGTGATGGGAGTGACAGATGCCCTTGCAGCTTTAGGTTCTGAACCAGCTTCCCCTTTGGACCCTGTGAGACCCTGGGCTTTCAGGAGCACCCTGGAGAGGGCCTTGGAGAGAGACTCAGTGGGGACTGGTCAGATGTCTGGGGCCGAGGTCAGAGGGACTCCCGAGGGCAGGCCTCCCAGGTCCCTAGGGAAGGAAGGAGACTGAGGCTCTAGATGCTACTGGGCACTTACTATTTATTTGCTATCTGCTTGCTATTTATTTATTTAAATAAATGGAGGCCAGCGTCACGAACCAGCTGCCGTGTGAAGGATGAGGGGACTCACCAAAGCAGGCCTGGTGGTGCTGGGTGAAGCCGGGGGGACAGCGGCAGGTGAAGGCGCCGATGGTGTTGACACAGAAGAACTGGCAGTTGTGCTGCCTGGAGGTACACTCATCCAGGTCTGTGGCACAGATGGTCCCAGGGCTCAGGGCCGGGCCCGGCTGGGACCGAGGGCTTCCCAGGGGAACGGTCCTAGAGATGGTGCCCTACGCCATGCAGTGGGAAGGGGGTGAGACGGTCTGGGACATGCCTGGGGCTTCCCCAGGGGGGAGGGATGGAGCCCCGCAGGGCATGAGGGAGGGACATCACCTCTGCAGGTCCCGCTGTCCTCCTCCAGCAGGTAGCCGCGGGGGCAGGCACACAGGAAGCTGCCCTCCGTGTTTTTGCAGAGGAAGGTGCACGGCATGGGGGCCTGGATGCACTCGTCCACATCTAGAGGGGATGGCAGCATGCCAGGGGGTCAAATGGACATTACCAGGGGCTCAGGGGCTGGGGTCTCTACCCTAGCCCTGCCGAGGTCTCCTACCCAGATCCTAGCCATCCAGAATCTGTGAGCTTACATAAAGAACTGATACTTATTTCTGTTAAAAAAAAAAAAAAAAAAGAGTAATCATGCTGGGCCTTGTGGGCCACACGGTCTCAGCTCCAACTACTCAAGTTTGCCTTTGTAGCAGGAAAGCAGCTGTAGAGAGTAAGGAAACAAATAGGTATGGCGGTGTGCTAATAAAACTTTATTAACAAAAATAAGCGGCGAGCCAGATCCGGTCCTTGGGTTGGTGTTTGCCAACCCGGCTGAGATGAATATCTGCTATTCAAGGTAACTGAAAACCTTAGGATGCACAGAACTACAGGAGGAAAATGGACCAAAAAAGGCCAGGGTGAGGGGAGAGATCAGTGGATACTTTTGACTTTGTGGTCCATACGGTCTCTGTTGCTCTGGACTTGGTTGTCTCACAGAAGCACAGGCCACGTGCTGTGTGGAGGGGCTGGGCTGGGTCACGGGGTGGAGAAAGAGGGGCTCACCCAGGCAGGTTGTGGCTGTGGCATCTGGCGTGTACCCGGCCTGGCAGTGGCATCGGAATGAGCCAAGGCTGTTGATGCACTCACCATTGGGACACAGGTGAGAGAGCACATGGCACTCGTCCACATCTGGGGACAAGTAGGGCTGGGCTGGGGCTGGCTGCCTTGGGTCACCGGGGCATGACTCCTCCTTTTAGCCCACCAGCCCTCTCTCCGGAGGCCAGGCCAGCCCCTACTTCTCCTCCCTCCACCCCTGAGCTGGGGATCCCACCTCAGGCTGCAGGTGGCACCTCCGCCAGCATGTCACACTAATGAAACTCCTTCTACTGGACACTTAGAATGCCCAAGGGGACACAGCCATCCTACGTACGTGGAAGCACAACGGCACACAAGCTTTTCATACCAGTCACACGCACAGACACTTGCAGAATCATGAGTTCACATACTCAGGGGCTCCTCTGTCCTCCAGAAGCACCCTTGCAAAGGTGCTTCCTTCTCAGCCCCTGATGTCACGGCTGCTCACTTGGGATGACCTGTCACCTTCACCGACATGCTCGATGAGACATGTTCATGCACAGATACACCCCCACTCACACACACACACATACCAACTCACAGACACTCACCGGAATCCAAAATGCATGACTGGCTCACTCCCTCTCCCCCGCCTCCTGGTTCGTAGTCCTCACCCAGTTCACACACAGCTCACACACCAGCCCACATGCGTTCACACACTCATTAACGAGCCCACACACACAAGAACAAAGAACACGCACACTGCCTCACACACCTGCTCACCCATCCACCCAAGTTCATGCACCCACACACACAGCCAAGAATGGGTTTGGTTCACACTGGTCCACACAGACCAGCCAGCACAGACACACACACACTCACATACACTCACTCACACACACACTCACTGAAGCACCTGCACTCCTGTGAGCAAATTCCTACCCACCTCGGCCTTCGGCGGTGTAGCCTGGGCCGTGGGGGCACAGCTTCCTGTGGGCAGAGGTGCCGGGCAGGGGACAGAGCTCGCAGCGAGGCCCCCAGCCACGGCCGCCCCCACAGCAGCACTCAGCCCTGGTGACTGCCTCGCCACTGCTTGATGGGCCCTGGCACACAGTCTGCAGCACCTCGGAGAAGCAAGGCCCCCGCCGGACATCTGCAGAGAACGAGTGGGGACAGTGGGTGGCAGAAACGCACTGTCTGGATCGCCCTTCTCCACGGGTCCGGGGGAGCTGCATCTGCAAAGGGGCTCCCGAGTCTCTGACAGCTGCGTCTGTGCGTGGGGTGCGACCTTCCCAGCTGTTGTTCTCTGGCAGTGTTAAACACCCCCGCTGGGCTGGGGCTGGGGCTAGAGCTGTGGCAAAAGCTACAGACCTGAAGATCGGAGAGCTAGCCCCGGGCTGCAGATGCCAGGCTGCTCTCTGAGAGCCAAGGGCAGCTTCCCTCTGGCCACAGAGAGATCAGAGGGTCAACAAGCAGCTTGGAGTCTGGGGAACACTGGGGAGTTGGCAAGAGGTGGTGGCGTCCTGGACAGATAGTGGGGACAGAGCCGAAGGATGATGTCCAGAGGCATGTGGAAAGTGGAGAGGACAGGCTGGAGACCAGACGTCAGGTAAGGGACAGGAGGCCACTGGCTACTCTAGCGGCCTGGCTTGGGGGTCTGGGCAGGTGCTGGGGCATCACCGAGACTGGACTTGGGGGCGGAGAGGTGGGCTTGTTTTGGGGTGAGCTGTGTCTGGGCGGTATTGGGGATGGGGGTTCCTGAAGGCAGCTGGACAGACGCGTCTGGCCTAAAGCTGAAAGGTGGAGACTGCTGGGTGGACAGAATGACGAAGGATGAGAGGAGAGTGGTGGGGACTGTGTGGAGACAGGACTGACAAACAGCCGGGGCAGACGGTCTACGTGGGTCACCTGCCGGGTTTAGCCCCCAGGAAGAGGTGACCCTGGGGAGGGCTGGTCACTGGGTGTGCTGGACAGGGAAGTGGGGAGATGCTCTGCTGTTCCAGGGTGCTTGGCTGAAGGGAGGAAGGGAAGCACGGTGGCCTACGATGGGCACGCGTGTCCAGATCAGCTCGACAACCCTGCGTGCCCCTTGGTGCCCCAGATCCCGTCAGCTAAACAACCCCCCGTGTGCCACCCTGGGACACTCCCAGGAGGCAGGAGGGACAGGCACCGAGTGGCTGCGTCTCCCGCGCCTACGCCTGGCCACACTCACCACGGCACTCAGTGAGGGCAGGGCTGGGCTGGAACCCCTCGTCACAGTCACATCGGAAGCTGCCCGCGGTGTTGACACAGTGGCCGTTGGCACAGAGGCTGGGCTGGGCGCGGCATTCGTCTTCATCTGAGACGGGAGGGATGAGGCAGGCCAGCGGGGAGGCCCCCAGAGCCTGCTTCCCCCCAGTTCCGATGTCTGCCCCCCCGCCCGCATCCTCTTGCTCCGACTTCTCCCTCTGTGGTGCTCCCTGCGCCCCGAGGCACCCCCGCACCTATGCAGCCCTCTCCAGAGCCGAGCTGCGGCTGCATGCCCAGGGGACAGACGCAGGCGAAGGTGCCGATGAGGTTCTTGCACAGCATGCCTCGAGCGTGGCAGTCCTGCTGGCCATCCGCACACTCGTCCACATCTGCAGGTGACCGGGGACAGATGGCGGCTAAGGTCAGGTGCCCCACAGCCCAGCCCCAGGCTATGGGGGCCTGAATCCCAACCCCTAGGTGGTCTTGGGTGGGGCCGGAGTGAGGCTCCTGCAGCACGGCCAGGCTCCCAGCCCTCCGCTGCCGGGCCCAGACCTCGTGACAAGCCAAAGTCGTCGGGACTGCCCCAACACCCGCGTCCCCTGTCCATTCCAGGGTCTAGGAATCTGCAGGGCCTTCACCATTGTCGCTGGAACACTGGCCCTGTAATCGCCCTGGAGGGGCCACATGCCGGCCTGGGGTTTGAAACTAGACATTTGGGACCAGAAAACTGTGGTGGGAGGCCGATCTGCACTTTGTAGGGTATTTATCAGCACCCTAGGCTATTCAGCGCCAGCAGCACCCTCCCACCCAACTGAGACGATAAAAAAAGTCTCCAGACGTTGCCACATGTCCTCTGCAGGGCATGACTGCTGTCCCCACTGCCCCGTCCCACTCAGGGCGTGTCCAGCTGCCCCCGGAGAGGCCTCCAGAGCCACACCTACTGTGCTGTCAGGACCCACAATGCTAGCACCCCGTTTTCATAACAGAAACGGAGGCCCCACTCACAAAGCACACCCGCTGCACAGTCACCTGCCTCCCTCTCCACTCACCTTGTTACTTATTGTTCATTCCTGCCCTTGGAGACACAGGCTCTTAATTTTCCCTCTTTTCTCAGGACTGAGGCGTGGGGAGCCTGGGGGCCCTGCCCGTGCCCACCTGCCCGTGCGGGTCCTACCTTGGCACATGGTCCCGTCCTCCCGTAAGGCATAGCCAGCTGGGCAGGTACACACGTAGGAGCCTTTGGTGTTGCGGCAACGGAAGGCACAGAGCAGGGGGTTCAGGGAGCACTCATCGATGTCTGGGGGGGCCAGTGGAGGTGCCGGCTGGGGAGGGTCTGCCTGCAGGACCCCCGCCTTCCTCCCACAGACCAGCTCCCCACTCCCATGTCACACAGCCCAGGTCCTGGGCAGGCAGGGTCATACCCTCACAGGTCATCATGGGGCCGGGCTCGAAGCCATCCGCACAGGCACATTCAAAGCCTCCAATGACGTTGGTGCACGTGCCTTCCCCACAGGGCAGCCCCACGGAGCATTCGTCTGCGTCTGGGGGGTGGTCAGTGCCTTCAGAGAGCCCCCCATCCTTGATATTATCTTGTCTGCCTCCCCACTGACCGCCACAAACTGGATCGGGCCAGGTCTGCTGTGGCTCTAGGCTAGATGCAGGACAGCATGCCGTATGTGTTCAATGAATGAATGAACAAAGGAATGAATGAGTGACCAAATAAGTGAATAAATGGATGAGTAAATAACGGAGAGAAGGAAGAGTGGGCGGGGAGAGTGACAGTGGCTAAGGGGCAGGGTCCTGCCCTGGGTAGTGTCTGCCCTGCTCCTCTGCTCCTTCTTTTCCTGGGAGGCGGGCCGGTCACTCACCCACACAGCTGACGCCTGTGAAGTCCAAGCTATAGCCAAAGGGACACTCGCAGCGAAAGGAGCCATCGGTGTTGACACAATGGCCATTGGCACAGACACCAGGATTCTCTGCACACTCGTTCACGTCTGTGAGCAGCAAGGGTTGAAGACACGGTGCCTGTCATGTCCTGGCCACACTGAGGGTCTCTTCCTTCCCTCCAGGCTGGAGGGGTTTAGGGCCACCCGTGGGTCAATGAAGAAGCTTGAAACCTGGGAACCCAGGCGGAGCCCAGACGAAGCTGGGTGGAAAGGAGGAGGGTGCGGCAGCCCGGAGGAGCTCTTCGCGTGGGGGCGAGGGACTCACCTTCCCGAGTCTCGTCTGGGCCTGGGACTGCTCCGTGACCAAAGGGGCAGAGCTCCTGGAAAGCGGCTGGACAGTGAGAGGACAAGGGGGTGAGGGTCAGGGGCCAGGTGCAGCACTCAGGACCCACCAAGCGGGTGGAGGGATGAAGGAAGAATGGAGAGAAAAGAGGGGAGCTGGGGGTAGAGGGTGGCTGGGGGGCGGGGCAGGCAGGCAGAATCAGAGGGGAGGGACTGGACAGGGCCGGTGCTCACCACTGCCCTCCTGAGGACACAGCTCACAGGGGTCGTTCCAGCCCTCGCCAGGCCTCTGGCTGCAACAGCACCGGGTCTTGGTGGTGTTGAAAGCTTTGGGCATCGAGCACCTTCCAGCCTCGAAACGGGTGAAGCAGAAACTCTGCCGTGTGTCTGTGGGGTGATTGCCCAGAGTTGCTGGAAGGGCCATTAGCAGTGCTCGCCCACCCCGTACCTCTTCCACCCCGGTTCCTGCAAATGGGTGGGCCTGCCTCTACTAGCAGCCAATCAGAACACTCCGGGCCTCAGGCCATGGTGGTTGGTTTGGGGGTGGACGTGTGACCCACAGTGGCCCATTGAAAGTCAGCCTTGAGGCATTCGTTGGACCCCTGGGAATTCCTTCCAGCAACACCCCTTTCACTGCTGTGGGGGTGCTCCAGGGGTGCTCCAGGGACAGGGAGAGTGGTCAAACTCAGCTATATTATTCTTGGATTAGAAGCCCCTTCTTGCAGAGGCAAAGTGACTAATCCCAGAGAGCAAGAGGACCTCAGACTTCAGCTCCCCCATCCTCATTGCTGACCCCTGGTCCTCAACCCCAGATTCCTACCAGCCTGAGAAATCCTCTTTGTTGGGGATTGGCCCAAACCTGTCCCCAGAATAACGAATATTGATTCGATTGTCCTGCCCTCCCCCTCGTTCCTGGAAGAAAAGAGGCTGGCTCAGATTGAATGAGGCTAGCGCACACCAGACGAGGCTAGCCCAGCTGAGATGAAGCCAGCCCAGGCAGGGCCACTGCAGCCCTTACAGGGCAGCCCAAGCCCAAGGGACCAGGCTAGCCCAGACTGGACCAAGTTAGCCCTCCACGGACCTGTCTGGCCAAGAGGTCGGTTGGACTAGGACAACCCTACGGCCCCTCCGTGAGGCAGAGCTCCAGGAGATCCATACGAGAAGCGGCACCCCCTTTCCTGGTTGATCCGACTCTCCCCTGCCCCATCCCCCACCTCTTTTCAGAGCCCTCTGTGCTCTGTGGCCCCAGACTCACCAAAGCAACGGTGCCCATTATCAGAGAGGACAAAGCCAGGCGGGCAGAGGCACTGGAAACTCCCGGGGCTGTTGGTACAGGTACCAAAGAGGCAGAGGTTGGGCTCCTCCGAGCACTCGTCGATGTCTGGAGGGCCAGGGACATAGCTGAGTGGGGTGTGAGCAGGACAGGACCCTGGCTGGGGTGGGACAGCCTTGGCTGTTCGGGAGGGACTGACCCAGAGTAGGAGCCCCCAGGGCTCAGTATGAGCCAGAGCACTAGGGGGCAGTATGAAGGGAATTTTCTAGAAGGTATATTCAGGGTAGGGATTATGGTCAGGAAAAGTCCATCTTCAGAGATAAAATTTGTATAAAGATAACCAAGATTAGATAAAATTTAGCCTACATTTGATGGAGTTAGTTCACATTACATCAAGCTAGCCTAGATGGGCTAGACCAGAGATGGCCCGGCCAGACTGGTCCAGGTTAGCCCACACTGTACAAGGTTAACCCATCTGCTCAAACCAAACTGATCTAGGTTAGCCCAGGTCATACAAGGCTAGCCCAGATAGATTAGATTGGAGGAGGCCAGGCTAGACTGGTCCAGGTTAGCCCGCGCTATATAAAGCTAGCCCAGGTGGAGACTGGACCAGAGATGGTCAGGCGGGAGAGAGGGAGACAGGAGAGGAAAGGAGCCGTCAGCCCAGAGCGCTTCTAATAGTGTGTGGCGGTGCGTTGGGCACTGTGCTAAGTGCATCTCCACCCTCAACACGACACTAGCTGGCGTTCCCATGTTACGGATGGGGAACAGAGTCCCAGAGATGCCTCTCTGAATCCAGAGCTGGGAGGTAGGGCCGGACACTCACCTATGCAGTGGTCATTCTGCACCTGGAAGCCGGGGGGACAGATGCAGCGGAAAGAGCCTTCTAGGTTCTGGCAAGTCCCTGGCAGGCAGGCTCCTGTGACTCTGAGACACTCGTTGGTGTCTGTGGAGAGGAGGAGGGGACCCAGCACCAGTCAGCAGCAGAGGGCTCACCTGGGACCAGGACTGGCACCTACAGTTAGTGCATGATGGCTGAGGGCCCCAGGGCAAGCCTTCTCTGTGGCAGCCCTGGAGCCAGGGGAAGGGCTGAGACTCAAGAAAACGGGGACAGGTGGGGAAGGATAGTCTGGGTCCTGGGGTGGAGCCAGGTGGTATCCAGGGGAAGAGGGGACAAAGTTCCTAATCTCAAGCCACCTGCAGACACCTTTCACAGTTCCCATAGCACCCTCTCAAGCACTTCTACTATCCCATACTTTGGTAAATTTAGATTTTTCAAAACAGCCTCACTCTCAACCACGAACCCTGTGAAAATATGGGTGTGATGTGCTGGTTTTATTCTTTCTTTTTATTCCTTAAAATAAACGCACGGTTATGGAATAAAACCACAATCACGTAGAAGTACCAGACGCAGGTAAACTTGGAGCAGGGGCTGGCTGAGATGGCTCCCAGCACCGTGCGAGACTCACCCATACAATTCTTCCCGTCGGTCATGAGCTCAAAACCATCCTGGCAGAGGCAGTGAAAGGAGCCAATTGTGTTGAGACACTGGCCAAATCGGCACACCTGTCCTGCCAGGGTAGTGCACTCATCCACATCTGCAAAGGGGAGACGAGCAGGTGGGGTCACCTATAGCACTGAGGCTCTAAGCCTCCCTTGCACTTCCATCCACAACGAAGTTAAGTTGATGGCAGTGACTTCAATTCATGGAGCACTCACATGCCAGACTCTGGATATTAACCTTCTAACTAATCCTAGAAGGCAGATACCAATATTTCCTAATATAAGCATTTTAATGCTGTGAACTTGCCTCTAGAGACTCCCTTAGCTGTATCCCACACATTTTGTTATATTTTCATCTTTATTTAATTTGAAATATTTTCTAATTTCCCTTATTATTTCTTCTTTGTTCTACGGATTCTTTAGGAGTATGCTGTTTAGTTTCTAAGTATTTGAGGGGATTCTGGATATCCTCTGTGACTGATTTCTGGTTTAATTCCCTTACATTCCGAGGACTTACTTTGTGTGACTTAAGTCCTTTTAAATTTGTTAAAGTTTGTCTGCTATGGTCTTTCTTGGTAAATGTTCATGTGCATTTGAGAAAAATTCATATTCTAGAATGTTCTAGAAATATCAGCCAGGTCTAGGTGGTTGCCAGCCGTGTTCAAGTCTTCTGTATCTCTACTGATTTTCTGTTTGTTCCCTCTATT